TTCGGATGTGGCATCCTTTATTACTCAGACTCGAAGTGATAATATATGTCGTGATACTGGCCTCAAAAACGCCCCAGCTAATACCCCTGGGTCGCTGCCCAACGCTCCACTTTTGGACGCTGGTAAAGTCTTGGAATATACACAGTTATCCCAAGCTCTTCGCAAGGCTGCCCGTAACAGATCCACGCAGAAGAACAGTGGCAAATCCGGAGGCCGACAACAACAAAAGTCATCCGACTTTCGTACTACCAAACAGTCAGATGAAACGTCAAGTGACAAACGACGTGGTGACTCTGGCAACCAATCGGGTTTTCAGAAAGGCAAAAAGAAATTCGGCAAAAAACGCAGCAACAGCAGCAACAACAACAACCACGACGAGGACCAGTAGGTGGGCGCTTGAGCTCTTTTGCTTCTGCTTGGTCAAAGTTTTGCGACTCACCATGGATCAACAACGTCGTCAAAAACGGATTTTCCATACCTTTTCATACGATTCCACCTACCCGACGTCACGATTCCAACAATTATCAGTATCACCACCTCACACCAACAGCCGCGAAGACAATCGGCGCCGAGATCAACACTCTCTTGCAGAACCGCGCCATCGAAAGAACAACCGAAAAAGGTTTTCATTCCACACTGTTCACCATCCCCAAGAAAACAGGGGGCTTACGACCCATCCTCAACTTACGACCTCTCAACTTACAGTATCTGCAGAAGAACCGATCGTTCAAGATGGAAACCATCAGCCACGTTTGCCGCATGCTACAACCAAACGATCACCTTGTAAGCATCGACCTCGAGAACGCGTTTCAGCACGTCTTAGTCAACAACCGATCGCGACGCTTTCTTCAGTTTCGTTGGCAGAATCAGACGTACCAGTTCCGCGTTCTTCCGTTTGGCCTTTCACTTTCTCCTCTTGTCTGGACGAAAGTCCTTCGACCAGTGCTTCGTTGGGCACGCCGACGAGGCATCCGGATCTCGGCTTACCTGGACGATGTCCTGATTGCAGCCAAGTCGTCAGCGCAAGCATCACAGCACACTCAAGCGGTACTCAGCAAACTGAGCGCACTGGGTTTCTTGGTGAACAACACCAAATCTCATCTCACACCAACTCAACAAATCGATCATCTCGGTTTTCATATCAATACCAAGACCATGCAACTCTCTGTTCCTCCAACGAAACTACGAGACTTACGACGAGAAGCACGACGTCTACTGAACAGAGCAACAACAACAGTACGTCTTCTTTCCTCGTTTATCGGGAAAGCGCAAGCCACAACCTTAGCTGTACTGCCAGCGCGTCTTTACACTCGCCAAATGATCGCCTGGCGCAACCGGATGCTAGCTCGAGGACTCACATGGAGCTCGCAGATTCAGCTATCAGCATCGGTACGTCAAGAGCTTCACTGGTGGATAGAGCATCTACAACATTGGAACGGGCAGAGTTTTATCCCTTCTACCCCCAGATAGAAGTCTACACGGATTCATCAGATCGGGGATGGGGCCTGGTTTTCAACAGCACGTCGATCGCCGGGACATGGAGTCAGCATCAGCAACAGCATCACATCAACTTCAAGGAACTCCTGACGATCCAACAAGCAATACGACATCCGACACTTCGTGGCAAGGTTCTACGTCTTTATTGCGACAACACAACAACGATCGCATATGTCAATCATTTCGGTGGGACCCGGTCTCATGCTCTGATGACACTCGCAATGAAGATCTGGAAGGAATGTCTCGACACCAATACGCGCATACAGTTGATGTATGTTCCGAGTCAGTTCAACCCAGCAGACCCACCATCCCGACAGCTTCAACGTCAACTCGAATGGAGCATCAGCCCACAGTATTTCAGCAAGCTGGACCAAGCATGGGGTCCACATCATCTGGATTGCTTTGCTTCTCACCACAACGCGAAGCTCAAGGCATACATGAGCTGGAGACCAGATCAACAGGCGATTGCTACGGACAGCCTTCTACATCCTTGGACACCATATCGCCGAGTTTATTGCTGCCCCCCATGGAATCTCCTTCAGCGCACCATACAGAAGATTCAGCAAGAACGAATAACAGCAACAATAATCACACCTCGATGGCCGAGCGCGATTTGGTACCCGACATTACAACAGCTCAGCATCTCGAAGCCGAAGATTATACCGCGCCACGCGATTCAAGCAGCACCCGGCGACGATCAATCTCTCCTGCAGAAGAATCCCCATTGGTCTATGATCGCTTGGAACATAAACGGCGCCGTTTAACTGCTTCAGGTCTCAGCACAGACGCAACATCCATCATGCTCGATCCCGCACATACTCAACAGCGCAACGCGCACTATCAACCTATCCAACGTCGTTATATTTGCTGGGCCAGACAACACGACATCGATCCTTTCGTAGCCAATCCAGCACAGCTGGTCAACTTCCTGGCCTATGGTCATGTTCATCTTGGGTGGGCTACAGGTACATGTGCTAATTACCGATCCGCCATTCTTGACCTATATGACGACACATCATCTTTCGCAAACGACACACACTACAAAGACTTTTTTCCGCTCTCAACGATCAGACCATTCGTTCGTTCGACCGACCACGATATGATATACAACCTGTTATCCGCAACATTGTCGACCTTGGCAACAATCTCACTATGCGCGCAATCGATCTCACCCGCAAGCTCTGTTTCCTACTGGCCATTACGGGTTTCCTTCGTCCATCCGACATAGAACGCATTGACGATGGTCGCACCAATGTAACAGACCGTCATTTACGACTGGTGATTGCTCGCCCAAAGGAAAAGCGCTATCAACAACGCATTGAAAAAGTCATTCATATCCACAGACATGAGACCTCCTTGCTTTGTCCGGTCCAGACATATGTTGATTATCACTCTCGCTTTTGCCAAAGCCTTGTCGCCGTTCTTATCCTTTCAACAATGGTCCACGCCAATATGTTTACAAGCTTATTCGGGCAGTACACAACAACAACACAGCTATCGGTGCAGAGCGCATCAGCAACCACATCAAGCATTTTCTTGATATGATTCCAAGACCTGAAGGTACCGCACGACCAAAGGCTCGAGCTCTTGGCTCGACCGCAGCGGTGCAAGCGGGGGCGTCTTTGGACGATGTTTTGATCCATGGTTCCTGGCTATCCTCCTCGGTTTTTGACACTTTCTACCGTATCTCTCGAGAGACGGCTACGGATTTCACTCAGATGGCCCTTCCGACGGTTGTTTCTCTGCATTCACAATCTGAATCAGTGCCAGCCGAAGAATAATAGTCTTCACAGCCGAGGTCGCAGACCGACGGCTTACTATTATTATTCGAGGCGTAAGCACTGATTCAGATTGTCCCTCCCTCCTCTCCCTTTTGTTTGTCTGTTTGTTTCCCAGTCGCTTGTATATGATACAGCTATAGCATATATGTTTCACATATTTTATTTCTTTGGACTTTCGACCCAATAAAGAAAAAATGGTAACACAATCTGAATCAGTGCTTACGCCTCGAATAATAATAGTAAGCTGTCGGTCTGCGACCTCGGCTGTGAAGACTACATATTATTATCAACGAGCCTTTGTCGCCTTCGCACCTTGGGATTGAGCCCCTCCGCTTCGCTACGTGTCAATCCCTAAGGTGCTTCGGCTCGGTGGCTCGCTGGGGGCTTCCCCCAGACCCCCTTTGTTGGGGGCCAAGCCCCCAAACCCCCTGTAGCAGCCGCATTCAAGGCTGTATCAGTGTTTTGCCGTTTGATCCTTTATCAATTCTTGCGATGTGACTAAACCCGAACCATTTACCTACCCCGATCGCCCTAAACACTATAATTCTAACATACTAAACCCTAAACCTAAAGCTACTGAAATGACTGGATTGAATTTAGAATATAGAAAAAGTAAGTGGTTGTATCTATTAAGCTGTAACTGTTGTTAATGCTTCTCTGTGCACAATGTTTAAGGTCGAATGTGATGGTTGCGATGTTGGTGGGTTGGAAGGAAGTAGAAAAACTGTGAGAGAGTTGGGAGTGCGGACGCGGGATAATGCCACATATAGTTGGCCATGTGTGAAAGCTGGCTTAAACAGGCACAGCATTGCTCTATTGAGGGTTTGACCTTGCGACTTGGCGATAGTCATTGCGAAGGCAAGGACCACAGGAAACTGATGGCGGCAGAGTTTAGATGGGAGATCATTTTCTTTCGAGTATAGACTGATGCGTGGAATATAGACGATATCACCTAGTCAACAAATAGAATGTGTTGATAAGCTAGGTATAAAATCGATCCAGAAGTAGGTAATTGTATATACCTGCAAAGTCGCCTTGAGCAATTTCTGCTTCAATAACGTGTGGTAAGAGATTTCGACATATTAACCGCGTTCCATTGCATAGGCCCTTTTGAGGATTGATGTTGCGTAGAAGCATTATTGGCTGGTGTCGTTTTAAAGAAAGTTGATGAGGAGGATAGCTATTGAGAGTGATGGTGTGAAGGTATTCTGGTGGATGAGTGGCTTCAAATGCCTCGGAGTCGACAATCTTATCAGAAGATAGATATTCGTGCGTTTCTCCAGGAAAAATTGATAATGCTACATCGTTAAGAGAGCGAATATCGTCGTTGTATGGTACTAATATGGCACGGCTGGTCATGTAATCGCGGTCAGTGTAATTTGTATCCAAATCAGGGTAGGTGGAGCGAACTACAGAGGCGAGACTGGAAGTGACAACGCATGATTCGGAGGGCAGGCTTATTGTCACTGCATCGGATTCGGGAATTGCGGTACCTGGCTCGCGTCCTTCACCAACACGTAAAAGATATTCAGCAAATTGCTGCAGTTGAGTGGCCGTCGTTGGATCAGGACTTTGCTGGACGCGCATGTTTTCGGTGAGTCGAAGCACACGGACAATGTTGTTGACAAAGAGGTAGGATTTGATCAAGGAAGCATCGATAATATCAGCCTTGTTGCCATTGGGAACTATAGGCAGTATTTGTCTAAAGTCACCGCCAATGACAACAGTTTTTCCTCCAAAAGGAATGCGTTCCAAGCGACGATCAGTAACACCCATGATCTCTCTTAAAAGTCGATCAACTGTCTCGAAACCGAATCTGTGGCACATTGGTGCTTCATCCCAGATGATGAGCTTGGCCTGTCTAAGTATCTGTGCTTGTGGACTGCGGACCCGTACTGTGCTGATGGTATTGGCAGCCAAATCCAAAGGAAGCCCAAAACGACTATGCGCTGTACGACCACCTTGCAGCAACGTTGCAGCAATACCGGAAGAGGCGACAGGAATGGCAATTTCGCCATCCGATCTAACTTTTACCAGTAAAGCGCTGTAAACGAACGTCTTTCCGGTGCCACCTGGTCCATCCAGGAAAAAAACTCGACCTTGCTCTGGCGTTACTGCTTCTGGATCTTCACCTTCTTCAATGGATTGCACAACAGCGTTGTAAGCATCTCTCTGAGCATCATTGAAACTATCTTGAGAGCGCTGTACTATGCCTCGCAGTTGAACGCGATTATACTGTGTTTCTTGCTGTAAGAGGCGGTCGTAGGTGTGTTGGTGATTTCCCTCCTGTAAGACAGGCAATTGCGGCATGTCAGTAAATTCGATCAAGGAGCGGCCGTACTGGGGAAGCAATGCTGCTAATTCCTCCAAGGCTCGTAATCTTGCTGCAGTAATATCCTCCTCTAAAAGCTCCACATGCTGCTGGCCATTTTCAGCCTGTAATTGGCGACGTCGATTCTCGAGGAAATCAGCAGCAATATCGTCAGCATATCTTTCCCAAAGCTCGCCAGGCGTCAGGATATCGCAGAATGCCAGGATGACGGCGAAGAGATCACGGAGCCGTGACGCGGATGTGGTGACCTCAACGGCTTCTCCAAAACACCTATTCCACTCATCGTCGTCTTGTAACAATCCGCGTGCCTGTGCAGCAGCCTTAAACGTGGGATATACTGTGCCTTCAAAAGTGCGGATATCCTCAAAACTGGTGGCGCCAGAACGTGCAACAACAATAGCCTCAAGCTATATTTCTCTAGGTCGCGTGGCTGTACAAAGTACAATCGAGAGACTGGTGCCACACCACGGTTATGCATTCGTCCACGGCGATACCATCCACGTTGTCTGCTGTGCGTATATGCTGAGTAGATGTCGACATATAAGTATTGTCGTGCGTCAGGGTCGCGCTGGTTCAACGCAAACCAATCTACCAACGTCGAGCTCCGGTTGCGTGCTGCGCGTTGCAAGTCTCGAACATCGGCATCAGCTTCAAAGTACACGTTCTCTTCTGATGGCAAATGGATATCTAAGCGCTTTACTGCTGGAAAATGACTCTGCATATCCTTCTCGAAAATGCGCCAACAACTTTCTGCTGCCGATACGTATCGTACATTCAAAAATGCATCAATCTCATCAACGTTTTCTTCATTTGCTTGCGTCACTGTCGCTGCACTTTGGGTGCCTACTGTCACCTCGGCACGGTCGGACCCTTTGTAAACGTACTTGTATAGGTACTTTACAGCTCGGTTGCTGGAGCAAATTTCGACGTTGATATGGGCGTTGTACTTTGTGGTAAGATATAAGTTGTATGGAACGACCCATCCATTTCCGACATTGTATGTTGTGCGGTTGACAATTCTTTCGATTGTGCGATCAGGCATATCACGTCGACGATATGTTATATTGCCGTTTTCATCGAATCGAGTTTCATTGGCGAATGGTTTGGGAAATCGTTTTGAGCATGATCCATTACTCATACAGATGGCGCGTGGATTGAGTAAAGAGCCACAGGGAGTATGGATTATATTGCGTGTGACAGTGGCATATGCCTGTGGATAGGCTGGGGGTCTGGAATTTCAGCAGAAACGATGTTGTCGACATCCTCAACAGTGCGTATTTTGGAGTCATCGTGCATAATCAAAACAATGTGGGCATGTGGCAAGCCGCGCTTTTGGAATTCAATTACTTGAACCATGCGACAACATTGCCGAGCACGTTATGATCTTTGAGATCTGCCATTATTAGCTTGATCTTTTCAGAAAAACAGGGCAATCAAGTCAGGGCGATCAGATGGCTGCTGTCCATTAGAGGCCAAGGCTTCTCTTATTTCGGCCACTCTGGGTTGCACGTAACAGTTATAAAAGATCGGCTTTCCAAAATGTCGCACAATAGCCATTGCATCCTGATACAGCTGATGCATATAACTTTATAAAGAAACAGAACAGAAAAAGATAACAGAGATTGATGTAAGCAATTTCATGTATAGTAACATTTTATTTTATTTTCACATAACAACTCTCCACAGCAAAACGCTAGCTGATTGTAATTCTAAACGATCCCAGGCACGATACTCATGTTGCTATCTTAAAGAATAACTTACCGAGGACTGCCAGTATGAGAAGATGGAAGGATAACACGACGACCCAAATTTCGAGCCAGCTCGTTATTATCTTCTCCTACATCTTGCTGGAGGCATCAGCCATACCACTGTAAAGTTCCACGCGTAGCTGTCTTTGATGGCTGCGATAGTAATGCATACGACGGTGCTCAATCTTTGCGT